GAGGGCGCGCTCGATGTTCGTCGCCTCCGTGACGAAGGCTTCGACGGTGGTCGGCGGGTTGCGGACGAGGCCTTCGAAGATGTCATCCCTTACACCTCGGTTCAGGATCCGCAACCTCTTTTCGTCGGTGGCTTGAGGGTCGGCGCGAGCGGCCAGGTGCAGAACATCCTCGACGAAACTGGTGATGGTCTTGTTTGCGCCCTGAGTCCTCATTCAAAGAAGGTCCTCGGCCCTCTCCCGTCGATACTGGTTGATGAAAGTCCGTCTCAGCTCATCCTTGCAGGCGGTCCATAAGATCAACGAAGTCTCGCGATTCTCGAACCGGTGCCTGGCCGTTCCTTCGAGCGCGAAGTGAAGATTCTGTAGGCGCTGTTCGTCCGTCCATCGGTTGTGCTGGGCCACTCTCCCGTACTGGTGTAGCCAGTCCTCGATGTCTTCATAAGGCTCACCACGGAAGGACGCGGGAGTAAGGGCAGCGACGGGTAGGACAACGACAGGTGGAGTGGTCATCGTCGCGGTCTTTCTCTTTTGTTTCTGCAGCAGGGGTCCGAGTTTCGGAGGTTGGACTTTGGTACGGCGGCTTGCTCGGGCGTCGGCGTCTTCTGCGATGGGTAGCTTTCCGGGGCTGAACACTTCTCTTGGCCGGGATGTTTTCGTAGATGTACGATTCACAATCATAGAAAGTGATACCCAGCACCTCCACCAAAATGCCAGGAATGACGAGTGATGAGGCGGCGAATGACTGAGTAAGCTGAACGTTTAATGGGGCGAACTTGTGCCCCAAAATGAAAAGGAAACAGAAGAAAGCAGAACGTTCCGGGCGTCGAAGTCGGCGTGACAGCAGAGTTGAACGCTAGGGCGAAACTGCCTGCAGATCGCCACGCGGAGCCCCTGTGTACACGCGCTGGCTTTTGGAACAATCGACCTGGAAGGTTCGGCAACTGGAACATTCGTACCTCGAACAAGCAACAGAGTTCTCGAATTCACCAGAACATTAAACTGCAAGAATAAATAAAAGGACGCGTAACTCCCGGGAATCGAAACCTGGCTCTTTGCGTGGGAGTCAAGCACGATAACCGTTAGGCCACGGCCGCGCCGCTTCCTTGGCGAGCTGCACGCGCGGCAATATTTTTCTTTTAAATATTCCTAGATTGCTTTCTTTGCTTCGTTTTCAAACGATAACAAACATGGCTGCCGACGTTTTCGGAGTGTGGAAGAAGTGCAGCTCGTTGAGCTCGTTTATTTTTACGAGTGCGAGTCGTTCTGCGTTCACCGAGGGGTTTGAGAAAGATCTCCTCAACTGACGTACTGACGTAGATCGCAGCAAACAAGTTCCCCAAGTAAACGCATTCGGAAGCGCTGTGCGTGTGCTTCTTCTCGCAGAAAGACTGGCCTAAGCCTAGCTTCTTCACTTGAACTATGTTTCCTATCTGGCTTAATTTGTTCCTTTGCGGGTGTTGGTTTTCTTATGTGAAGTGGCCGGTAATTTGGTTCGCCAAAGAAGTTTGCCGGCTGGTTTGCTCGCTCCAGTTGTGCTGGTATGGCGTTTCAAACTCGGCGCCTCAGACCCTAAGCCTGACACTCGACTTCGATCTGTTTTTTGAGACGAGAGAAAGGGTCGAGACAGTGAGGACCCTATTGAAGATCTCATTTAGTGAGAAATTTCTGTGTCCAATAAACAGATATGAATCATACAAAATATATAAGAACATATAAGAACCATATAAGGACTATATAAAAACTATATAAGATATATAAGAACATTTAAGAACCATAAAAAAAACTTGTGAGAAGTTTCTTAGAAGTTTCTTATGTGGTTCTTATAAGTACTTATATATATTATATAGTTCTTATATGGCTCTTATAAGTTCTTGAGTATCTTGTATGATTCATATGTGTTTATTCGACCCAGATATTTCCCATACAAATGGCTTTTTCACTAGGGGGGCAAGTCAGGCACCGTTAGTAACGAAAGAAAGGAGTTTAATAAAAATGAAAGACGTTTACGTATCTCTAATGCGAAATTAGAGCACAGCTCTTGAGGAGGAGCAGGGAGGGTGCGGAGGGGAGGTATGCCCCTCCTTCTCCTCCGCACCCTCCCCTCCCTCTGCTCTTCCTCCACTCCTGCTTCTTTCCTCCTCCTATCCTTTTTTTCGTGAAATTTCATCGCTAGATTTTTCTCTAATGGCGAATTCCACTGGGCATTTTAGAGCGCGCCGAGATCAGTTGACCAGATTCGGACTGGAGCACACGATCCGAACGGGGTGCGCCGCCTACGGATCCCCAGTGGAACATGACCACTGCTCCGGGATCGGCGGATGCCTTCCCGTCATTCAACTGCCCGGGAATCCCCTTTCTGCGGCCACCGCGGTCGTTTCGAAGACGTTTTCGCAATCACGGCGCTAACATGTGTTCGACGGACGAGCGGCAGGAATGGCTGAGGCGCTTCTAGCAGAGATTGCCGGAATGCCCGTAGCGCGGCAAATACCTTCTCTTCTCCTTCCTGGAAAACGAACCGCCTGTCGAGCCAAGGGGTAAGCAAGCGGCCATTACAAATTCTTCTGATGTCGAGACAATCTAGGAGCCCAGCCCGCGGCGTGCTTCTTTCATTCTGAGGCGAGATGGGCGAGATCAGGCGAGATGCCTCGCGAGAAAGGAAGTTACGTGTGTGCGCCGAGAGCTGGCCCGGCTGGCTTCCGGTTGAATCCGCCGAAATCGTGGGAGCGACTTTTCTCAGATCCAGATCGAGATCTCGAGCGGGAGCTAATCTAAATCGACCAGTGAAACACATCGGTCTCGATCCCGATCGCCCAGTGAAATAGGCTCGCTCCAGTAAAGTCGGTCCCGGCGCGCTCCAAAGCGACCGTGGAATTCGCCATAAATTTAGCGAAAAGTTTAGCGAAGAAATTGGCGTCACGTGACTTCTACACCCAATTCGGTTTCTTCGGAAAACTTAGAGGGGAAAATGACGTCACATGACATCGTGTCACATCACCCACGAACAAATTCGGTTTCTCCGCTAGATATAGCGGGAAAATTGACGTCACTTGACCTCAACACCAATTACATTTTCTGCTAAATTTAGCGGGGCGGTTACGCCGACGCCGATGCGGACGGCGACGCCGCGAAACGCGGAAACGGGCGTCTAAGAGCTGCGCTCTGAAACAAAGCAGTGTCCCCACAGGCCAGGAACGTGGATTGAAGGGCTCACACGAGAACGAACGCTACAGTGTACGCGCTTCGCTTCGACCGCAGAGGACAGCGCCACATTGGGGATGGCGACCGCTGCGCCGCGACTCGGTTCTGAAAAGAAGCTTGGGAGTTTCGGCATTCTGGGAATATTCAGTGACGATTGCAGACTAGACGCGCCGGATATCACTAAAGGGAAACAATAGGCTTTTGAGTATGTTCGGTCGAGCAGCCATGCCAATCCAGTAGTAATGGGCCTAAACCTCCACCTAAATTACGTCCGACGGCGAATATATTGCACGTTACTTTTTTTCTTTCGTGAAACATATATATATAAAAGAAACGTGTTCCATCATTGCCCTTTAAAATAAAGACATCTTTAACAACATATCTATGCCCATTAATTTTTTTTTGCTTTGTGTTTTTTAATGTAATACGTATAACAGTATGACGAGTGGGGTGTTTGAGTTAGGTCAAGCTCCCGATTGAAGGAATCGGGACACACTGCCGAGGTATATTGTGCGAGTGGGATCATTACTAAATAAAGGCAACTGGGAAATTAGAGTCGTTTCCCAGAGTCAATGTTGGTGGACTCGCTTGGTAGTCGTTATCGTCGGCCGCAGTATCGTTGTTTTCAGTCTACTTAATATTCTGAAATGCACTGAGAAAGCTGAAATAATGCATGATGATTTCGGGTATCGTCAAGCTGTTGACGACAAAAAGCTATGTCATTGTTTGTTCAACGGAGACTCGCAAGGTTCCAAGTGAAATCTGGTTTGGCCAGCGCCATATTTGAGGTGGGCAGTCCCTAAACTAATCAGGGGCAGAGAAGGCGCATTGACCTTAAGTTTTTAGTGTTTCTGTGTCTGTGCGTATGTGTTCTGGTCTTTAAATGCACTTTCATTTACAATGAAATGAAACATAGGGTTGAGTTTGCGTAAATAGGTTAACTGAGCACACTCTGTATTTCGTTTCACCGTAACTTAGCAGAGCAAACGCTACGACCCTGCGGGGCCACTCAGAGCGACGGAGGTGAAGCACGTGGGAGCCCTTCGTAAAGGTACAGGGGTGAGAGTGTGATTTAAGCAGTTAGAGAGGAGGGGAAGGAGAACTTCCCTCTTTCCCGGATCATCTTTTGTGTGCCCCAAATGTCGTGTTTGTTCCCTACTGAGATTATCCTCCCACTTAAACGTCTTTGCTGAATCCCTTTTTCTCCCGCCCGTGGTTTCTACAGCACAGCGCGCAACTACTGAGATGGCGTATACCATCGTATTTCCCTCCAATGCGCTGAGTGGCTTAATTGGGCCATAGCTTTCGCAGTTTTTCAAGTTACAATGAGACGGAGTACAGAAAATGCCTGTTCATTCACTTCCTCTCGGTCATTTTGAGGAGGAGTGGACGGAACCTCAGGGAGCCACTTGAAGCTAGCTACGGAAAGAGCTGGCCGAATGAGGACACCAAAAGTATGCCTAGAAATGGAAATGAATTCTTCAACCTGACAAAGAGAATGTCCTTCCATTTTGCCTTTTTTCCGTAGACCGCAGTGATTGGCTCGGCGAGTGCCCAGCCTGTTTGTTTAACTGTCTCGATTTTCCCGTTGCTGAAGAAGTCTATAACTATTTTTGTGAGTAGGTATACAGAAATATGCTATAAGAATATACCAAGATATAGTGAACGCGGTAGCATTATTGCGTTCAAAACCAGCTTTGTATTAAGAAGAAAAATTACTGCAGATATGTTACAGAGAGCTATCGGCCAGTTTCGGACTGACACGATCCTTCACTCATAAATTAATTTTGTACCCTTTACAGTGTGCGAACTCTTCACTCGCGGTCGTCATGATTCCGACCGCGTGAATAGCTGGTGTTTTTTTATCTACACTGTCTTTTGTGGGACACCGGCTGTCACTTTCAAGTCTTTAGGAGAATGTTGGGGAGCACCGGCTAAAGCTGAGCCATAAATTTCACTGAAATAAACCACTTTTATATCACCTGCATCCCGAAACACTTTTCACAGGACCGCCTCTGAGCCGCACGGCGGCGCGGGAGACTAGGAAGTGGTTCCGAGAAAAGTTTCGCGCTTTGATAAACGTGGCCAACCCCTATGCTAACGACAAAAGAGTGACTATTCAGCAGAAATGCAGACAGATATTTTAATAAAAAGCTTAAGAAACACTGGCTGTGATTAGTTATTCCGCTTTCTTTCCCGGCGAATGGCGCATTCTAGGGGTGTGCAAAGAGTGATTCGAATGGAATACAGCTTCGTCATTCATAACATTCACAGTGCAAAAGTAAGTCACAATAGCCGGTTCTCTTAACAGCGCTGATGCTACGAATGACACTGCGCTTGCGATTATAACCTCTATTCGTACACCCCTATCGCCTTCTCATTTGCAGCAGAGCTGTAATACGAGGTATAGTTAAAAGGTAACCGCAATTTAGCCGTGAGAAGATCAAATCTAATGATAGACTGCTGTGCTGAAAATACTTTTTGACCTACCACAACAGCAGCTGAGTACGCCAGCCTGGCGACTTGATGAAAAATGTCATGTGACCGCAGCTCTTTCAAAGTGGCCGCCCCCGTGTTAGCATGCAGAAGGGGGAGCAGCGTTTGGTTATTCGATTTTTGGGCCGGGGGGGGGGCGGGGGGGGGGGGGGGCGAAAAACTTGCGGATATTCATCGCAGGATGCTGAAGCAGTACGGAGACGCCCGTGTATCGCTTCGGTAGGTGTACCAGCGGCACAAAACGTTTCGAAGTGGAGCGTTTAGTTTGACGGACGCACCTCGCTCCGGCTGGGCTCACACTTTAACGACGCCAGACGCAATCTCTGCTGCGGAACGGCTCACACACGGAAACCGGCGAGTCGGCATCGATCAAGCGGCTGAAGAATTAAATATTAGTCACGGCTCGACGCACCATATTATTCACGTTATCCTGAAGTACCACAAAGTATCCACCAGGTGGGTACCAAAACAACTTATACCGGACCTTAAGGAGAGGCGTGCGGATGCTTCTGAGACACAATTGCGACGGTACGAAGCCGAGGGAGATGATTTTCTTCGACGCATTGTCACCGGTGATGAATGCTGGGTACACTACGCCTAGCCAGAGACAAAACGACCGAGCAAGGAGTGGCGACACAAATCGTCACCCAGGAAGAAGAAGTTCAAGACAGCGCCAATGGTGGGCAAGCTAATGCTCGCGGTCTTTTGGGACCGTAAAGGCCCAATAGTTAAACTTTACATGCCCAAGGGACTGGGTGTGCACAGTGAATCATACTGCAACCTGCTTGAGAACCACTTGAAGCCTGCAATCAGGTCAAAGCGTCGCGGATTGCTAAGCTCAGGGGTGTTGTTGCATCACGACAATGCGCGCATCACGACACGTACAGCAGCGAAAAAAATCAAAGGAATGTAGTTCGATTGTATCCCGCACCCACCGTACTGGCGAGACCCCACACCGAGTGATTTTAACCTGGCTCCGGAGTCAGCCAGAAGGTTTTTTTCCCCGCGGCACTGATGCATTGCTGAAGCGTTGGTGCGCATGTGTCGAGCGAGGAGGTGACTATGTTGAAAAGAAATAAAGGACTTTTCGTGATATCTACACTACCACGCAAATAAAAAATAAATTGCGGTTTCTTTTGCTCGTTGCCTCGTACGATGCTGGATACTTACCACGCTTTGCGGTTCTCAAATACAGGAATTTTTAAACTCTGTGTCTGCCCTTATAGACCGAAAAGAGCGCCGTACCGTACTGCGTTTGTGTAATCGCTACTACATGTTGCATGTTCAGAGAGAGCTAGAGAGCTCAACTAGCAGCCCCATGGAGAATCATCAACATCATTATCATTTATTTTTCTTTGAGCGACTCGAGGTAATAAATGAGGGAGCCACAAACAGGCAAGCAGAATAACAATTAACACATACACTAGCACATTACTAATATGCTGAATGATATAGCGTTGCAGAAATGCCAAGATATGATCTAAAATGGGCCGTAAAAATCGGCGCTCGCAGGTAGCAATCTCAAAAGGGTATTTCATACGTGGATTTGACTTGTACAATTGCAAGGCGTAGCTTTTTTTCTGCGAACAAATACGGCCAAAAGCTTAAGCCTACCTTAATGGTAACGCCTTCATGTTGCCCGCACCGGACTCAGGTTCAATTCCTGCGGGCGGCGGGCGCCTTCTTTCAAGGTCTTGACAACACCCAGAACCTACAATCCCAACTACAATATCAACAACTAAAACATCAACAGCGGACGTCATTTCCAGTGGTAAGAAGAACCCCTAACAGCTATCGCTGTAAAAAAAAAAAAAAAAAAAAACACGTCTCCAGCGATACACCGCAGAAACGCAGCACTTTTTACGTAGTGTTTTTCACACTTGTAATATCCCTCATGTGTTAGTAGTATCAATAAATAAATTGAATAGAAACCATGAGATCGGTAAGCTTGTCTGCGAATAGGTTTCAGTTTCTTTAAACAGTTCAGTAAGTACAATGTTCTCTGAAGTTGTGTAAAAGGCTTCAAGTTCAGTATTAAAAAATAAGTTTCCTCTTTTGTAATCCTTAATAAATTTTTATGTGCGCATTCGTTTGTTGATAGCGTCATGTTTAACATTTTGGGGTCCTGTGAGCAGCGGTCACGTCGCCATGCGCGCATAGAAAAAAAAAAAAAAAAAAAAACATTTAGGCCAGCATATTCATCCCGAAATTCAGTGCAACCAGGGCTGGGTGGAGACACTCCAAAAAGTATTCTTTAACAGAAATACTGGTATACATGTATTTTAAGGCCCAAAATGCAGATGCAAAGACACATTCGTCTTTTATGTAACCGGATATCCCTGAGATACGTCTGAAAAAATGTCGAAAAAGTATTCCGGAGTACAGATAAAGATATTTATAGAAATGCATTTGTTCCCGAACGGTGCTGCGTGGGGAGGTCGCGGTTTGTGGCGAATGAAAATAGAAATTTATGCATGTGATCCTCCTTTTGTGTCATTTTATGCACTTCCCCTTAACGCAAATGCCGCTAACAAAATAAAAAATAAATAAAAAAAACATGTCACGCTTTAGTGAACTATAGTCGGTGACAGGTCAAGGACGAAGTTGAAGCTCCTGCCACCTCTTTCCACTTTAGCAGAGCGAACGTTGGAGTGGAGGTCGCCTCCTCTCAAGCGTTCGCTCTGCTAAAGTGGAAGAAGGTAGGAGGTGTTTCTACTTCGTTCTCGACCTCTCACCGACTACACATAGTTGCTCATCGGAAAAGACTGCGTTCCATGCTTGACAAAAGGCGTTTCCACAAAATGAACTCCATTTTGCCGTTAGGGAGGTTCTTAAACTGTCGTCTTATATGCTTCTGAGTTAGCCATAGTGTGAGTAGAATCGACCACAGAGCCGCTCGAAAGTATCCCTAAAATGCTATCGCGATACATTTGTACCGCGATCCTGCTCAGGCCTGAGTGCAACACATATCCAACTATAAAAGATGTACAATTTTAATCTTGTCTTTCGTTGATTGTAGCCTCTTCCTCGATCTGCACCTGCCGATATAAACAGCGTACGAAGAATCGTGTGTTTCAGCAGTAAGAATCATAATTTAAACAATGTCTTAAAAAAGACACGAATACTTCAGATATCAAATTGTTCTCCCGGGATATAGTATTTAGCAATCAGTGTTTATATATACATTATTTACATATCAAGTGCAGATTGCTGTCACGGCCTTCGGAACGTAGCCGCTCAACTTGCTCGCGAGCCTTTCTCCGTGTCGTCCTCTTCTTTCCTCTTTCAAGAGCTGGCGCGATGACCGCTACACTACCCCCCTTCTAGTCGATTTGACGATTGAAGGTAGAAAAATGAACTTTGCGGTGCGTTGGTTTGAACACTTTTGTCTCTGGGGACTCCTGACGTGACGGTTGGATAGGCGCGGGCTTGAGCCTGTCTATCGATACATTCTCTGTTTTCCCGTTTAACAGTATTTGGAAGTATTTCGGTGTCCTCTTCAAAACCGGAAATGGACCATCGTAGGGTGGTTGGAGGCAGCGGCGTAGAGCATCCTTTCTGACGAAAACGTGTGTGGTTGTTGACAGTTCGCGGCTGACAAAAACAGGGCGTATCGATGACGGCCTTGTAGGTGTGGGGCGAAGTTGTGACATAGCATCCCTGAGACGGTGAACGTAGTCGGATGGATCGGGGGTGACTAGTATGTCAGGCGGGATGAAATATTGCAGTGGTAAGCGAAGTGTCGTTCCATAGACAAGTTCGGCGGCTGAGCATGAAAGTTGGTCACTGAAGACCGTTCGAAGACCCAAAAGCACTAGAGGTAGCGATTCGGTCCAGTGGGTGTGAGCCTCGCGTGCGATGAGTGCTGTCTTCAGCTGACGATGAAATCTCTCAATCATTCCGTTGGCTTCGGGGTGGTAAGCTGTGGTTCTCAGCCTGCTGATACCGAGGAGAGAAGTGAATGCCTTGAAGAGCGCAGATTCGAATTGTCTGCCCCTATCCGTGGTGACAATTGCTGGTACACCGAATCGCGAAATCCACACGAGTAGAAATGATTGTGCGACTGTCTGAGCCGTGATGTCAGAAATTGCAAGCGCCTCAGGCCATCTCGTGAACCGATCAATGACCGTGAGAATATATCTGGAACCTTGTGATTCCGGCATGGGCCCGACGATGTCTAGATGTACATTTTCAAAGCGAGCTTCAGGAAGTTGGAAAGAGCCTGTGGGGCTTTGTGTGTGTCGCTGAATCTTCGCTCTTTGACATGCCAGGCAATTTTTGGCCCAGCTTCTCACATCAATGTTTATGTTTGGCCAGACATATCGAGAGGTTATGAGCTTCTGTGTTGCTCGTATGCGTGGATGGGATAACCCGTGTAGCGAGTCGAAAAGTTGCCGCCTTAACGAGTAGGGAACGAATGGGCGGGGAGAGCCGGCAGAGATGTCGCAAGTCAGG